TAATAATAATAATAATAATAAAAGAAGAAGAAGAAGAAAAGAAAAAATAGAGGAAGAAAAAAAGGGGGGAGGGATTTGGGTGGGGGGGTGGGGGTGGGGAGGGCTGGTCTCTAATACGAATAGGAAAGAGAGAAAAGAAAAAGAAAGAAAAGGAGAAAGAAAGAAAGAAAAAACATAAAAGAAGAAGAAAAAGATAACAGAAATAGAAACTAACGGAGGAATGGACGGATTGTCACCTCCTAGTAAGTTTTTGGATAATTTAAGGTACCTCGTAGTATATTTAAAAAAATGATGGGACCTGGTAGTTCTTATCACAAAATTGAGGGTACCCAGCAGTAATTTTTTGCAAACTTTCATCTCTAAATAAAATTGTAATCATATACATGCAGAGGACTTTTAAATTTTTAACAATATTTTTATGTTTCGTAAATTCAAATCTGAGTACTCACTTAGATTTCAACATTTTCATAATTAAATTTTGTGAAACCAAATCGTAATGTTCTACATTTTCTTAAATTTCATAAAATCAAGTCATAAACTTTACTTTAAGATGAAGAAAGACATTTTTTGCATATTATAATCAAAATGTATCACATTTGGCAGAGAAAAATAGAATGAGAATTGAACCGCGTGATATTGAGACAGCAGGTGGTAATAATTCTTAAAGATTGGCATTGAAGTGTACTAATCAAAGTGAAAGTTAACTAGGTGCAGAAAGATTGTAGGTTAAAGTCCTCATTTTTAATTTCATAAAAAAATTTGTTTTTTTGTTGTCTCAAAACAAATGATTTTATTTTTCTCTTGAAGAAACATTTACGTGCACTGGTTCTTAAAATTGCTAAATATGATGAGCAACTAATAAAATTAATCAGTTAAAACAGCTAATTCAATTAGTTGTTCACACTATAACAAAAACAAGCGGATAGACAGACTTAATTGCATGGGTTATTAAAACAAGCGATGCAAAAGATCAAAAACATTAGCTATTGATATTTATAAAAAAAATTTGAAAAATAAAAAAGGGGCATTAGCATCTGTTATTTATCGAAAAATACAAAAAATAAAAAAACAACCAATGCAAAAGCTCTTTTAAAAAAATTACATGAATTGTTTCTAATTAACCGATGCAAAAACATTTTATATAAAAACAGAGCTTTTGCTTCGGTTTTTTACAATCGATGCAATTGTTCCATGAGCAATTGCATCGCTCAAAAAGCGTTGTAAAAAATCTCAAACAACGGATGCAATTGCCCTTTTTTTGTAGTAGTGTCAACTTCAAACCAATCTTCACAATCAGCTAGGATCGACTCTTATTTTATTGGATTAAGTAATTAAATTTGATAAATTAGTGACTTGAAAAATTAAATACTCGATAATGACTTAAAAGGAGCACGGTTTGGGTCGAAGTCAATGTATGGATCAGGGTTTTTCGAGATGAAAATAAGGCTTCCGCACCAAGACTCTGCTGGAGTTGTCACTGCCTTTTACGTACGTATTTAAACATAATTTAATTATTGCTTGCTAATTTGTATAAATTGAGTCCTTCAAAAAAAAATTTGTATAAATTGAGAGAGTTCATACTTGTCTGAACTTATTAAATTTGATTTGAATGTCTGACAATTTTAACAATAAAAACAAGGCTCCGTTTGGTATAAGAAATTCAAACTATAAGACAACAATTCCAATTCTGTTGTTTGATAGCACAAAAACATGTGGATTTAGAATTGGTAGTGTCAAAAATGAATTGGAATTGGAGAATTCAATTCCATCCAACTCAATTCCATAAAATTTCAATTTTCAATTCAATTCTAATTCTGTCAATTCCGTGTACCAAACGGACTCTAATAGAGTTTTGGTGCAGCTAATATCCAATAAGCAAAACGGTCACGACGAGCTGGATTTCGAGTTCTTGGGCAACCGCGAAGGCAAACCAATTACCTTGCAGACTAACATCTTTACAGAGGGCATAGGGAACAGAGAGCAAAGAATTTCTCTCAAGTGGTTCGACCCAGCTGCAGATTTTCACACTTACCAAATCCTTTGGAACCAACACCAAATTGTGTGAGTAAAATATGCACTTACTACTCCTGAAAAAATGGGTCAAAAACTCAAGCTTGTGTGGGTTAACGAAATATTGTAGATTTTACGTGGACGATACGCCAATCAGAGTGTTCAAGAACAAGGCAAAGGCAGGGGTGGGATACCCTGCGTCCCACCCCATGCAAATAGAGTGCAGCTTGTGGAATGGAGAGAGCTGGGCGACGGACGGGGGCAGGTCAAAGATTGACTGGTCGCGCGCACCTTTCAGAGCAGAGTTCCAGGGATTCGCGGTGGATGGGTGTGTAGCAGATCCGGGCTCCTCCTCCAAATCCAATAGTAGTAGCATTCGCCACTGCTCTTCGCCGGATTACTGGTGGAACCAGAACCGGTTCTGGACACTGAATGAGACTGAGCAAATAAGATACACCAAAGTGAGGCAGACATACATGACCTATGATTACTGTGCAGATCTGTCAAGGTTTCCTACCCCTCCCCCAGAATGCCTTTAAGGAAATACCTTGTTGATCTTGCATGGACTGTATTTCAAAAAAACGAATTTAAAATGCTTAGGATCATATTACTCTGTCTAAGTTCAATATTTACTACCTATTTTATTGAAAACCCAACATAAACTTGTATTTAGATTAAAAGTAAATTTGATTTTAGAAACATTTTGTTTAGCAAGTACAAGAACATTTTATTAAAAAAATTAATATATTACCCCTAGTATTATTCAGACTTGTTATTCATTGCCAAATTCTTCTCCCCAGCAGCAGCTTTATTGAATATCAAATTAAGCTGATCCGCAAACAGCTGATTCTGCAGTTGTTGCAACTGGTGTGTCTCCTTTTCTGTTTGTAGCTCAATCTCCTCAAAGTGAACTAGCTTTTCTTCTATCTCTTTCATCTGCAAGGATTGTAAAAGTCACACTCTTTTTTAGTGTAAATATCCGTAAAATAAATCTTAGCTGAAACAGGGGATTGGGTCTAATATTCTAATAATGCATTCGGAATATAATCTTCAATGAATTTAAGGAAATACAAATATCTAAAAAAGAAGAGAGTACGAGAGCAGTTTATCTCTGCCTTAGCCGTTTCAATTCAAAAATAACACAATACTTTTATAATCATCCGTGAATACATTGCTTATGCAGACGAATAGGATAGTAAGATGGTAAGGAGTAGTTGGTCATTTGTAATCGGAAAGACAAGTTGTGCGTCAAATGCCCCTTTATGTTATTAAACAACAAATACTTTGACTAAAATGTCTTTGAAATGTGACAAGAGTATTTGGAGGGTGTGTACCAGAACAGCAACAAGGGAGATTGCACTCTCTAAATCGTGTTCTTCTCTATCAAGTTGCATTTGTGCTTCAGCAAGGGCTCCTTCAATCGTATCTACAGATTGGTCATTCCGTGCATTCTGAGAATCTGTGTTCAAGATTAGGAAACAGCAATCACCGTCTAAAGGAGAAGAAAATACGCAACAACCACATTTATGTAGTGCACATAGGGAAAATTATTTCGAAACATAATATGCAATTTTACTTCCACCCCAATTCCAGTCATCAGCAACAATAACCTAGTAAATCCTTAAAAAAGTAGTGCGGGGAAGGGTGTGTACACATAACTTACCAACAATTAGGGCTTGTTCTTTTTTGTTGGAATTCTAAAGTTGGATGTTGGAAAAAACTGGAAGGAGTTGGAAAATGTTGGATAAATTAAAGTGTTAAAAATCACTTAGTTAAATAATCACCCAAATAAATACGCAAGAAAACTCTATATTGGATTTAAAAAAACATCCTTGTCTGTGACTGAGGTAGTATGTTATAGACTTAGATATATAATGTTATTGTATATTCATCTTAATAAATATTTTTTTAAGTCGTTGGAAGAAACAATGAATTGAAAGGAATTGGAAGTTGAAAGGAGTTGGAAAAAGTTGGAAGTTAATTTTTCCAACCCAAAAGAACAAGCACTTAAAAGTGAGTAAAATCCCCCAACGCAAGTCATATGAGTAAAAGGGAAGAAATATGCAACAACCACAGTATTCAATGAGCACTTTCAAAAGTATTTCGAACAGATAATGCAACTTAATTTCCACTTTAACGGCAACAAAATTATGATTTAAAACAGTCTTATGCCACCATAAATGCTTGATTTATAGCTTTAAGCCACAAAGGGAAAACAAGACTCTTGATGTTTTTCAAGAGTACTTATCCACTTCCAACATCCTACATTCCTGCCTATTTGATGTTTTTCAAGAGGATAGCAACTAGCAAGGGCAATAACTGAATAAATGACTGGATCAATAGAATAGAAAAATACATCCAAGTGAGAACACATGCCTTGGTTATCTTCACTAGCAGATAAAGATTCAAGATGTCTCTTGATTTTTTCCATCCCAAACTCAGATAAAGATTTTAGGGCAGCATGAGTTGCAACTTCCACAACCTCTGTTCCTGCTAAAGCTGAGAGGAAAGCTGCCTGTGTGATTTTTTTCAAAACAAAGAATCAGATATTGTTTTGCCCAAGTCTTCAATACCTATTGTAGATGTGGGTAGCTTGAAAAAGAAAATACAAGCCTCAATTCAATTGATCATATGAACGGTAGAGGAACAGCTGTTCAAAGGCCTAGTTACTAACATGTATTAACAACTTAGAGAAAGTAAGTACCTGAGCCATGATAGGGTTACTAGCATCAGCAAGAGGTGTTAGTTTCGTCCTTTTGGAAGGAATCTGTTCATAGTCCATTTCAGCAGATTCTGGAGGCCCAACGAACTGCTCGCCGAAAGAAAGTTTGATAAAGCGTGACACACACTCTTTCTCACTCCTGCCACCCACATGCCCAGCCACCTTCTTCCAGTCATCCCCAAAATGCGTGACAGCTTCAAGTAGAAGCAATGTCTCCTTTTCGCTCCAATCCGTCTTTGTCTCTTCATTGAGATCCACTTTTCTAAAATCTGAAGAACTTAGCCCCACCCTGTAATTACCTCGTACGTAGCATTTCGCACAGAGAACCATATCATACTGCACCATAAACAAACAATCACATAAGGTACATAAGCTTCACAAAATTGAAAGATACCAAGTTATACATAATAATCATAAGCTATAGCTGATGAACAGTCTGTTGTAACCTACAAATTCAAACTTGATGAGTGAGTTTGTTTTACCTTATCACAAAGAAAACATGAAATGCTGCAAAGGGTCTTGCAGCCACTGCACAATCTCTTCTTTAGGACTTGAATATCCATGGAAGTTGCATTGGCTTCGCTGCTCTGGAAAGAAGCCCGAGATGCTTCTTTGTCTTCCCATTTAAGCTGAGTCTTGCTAGAAGTCGAGCCAGAGTAATTGATCAAACCCCATGTCTCTAGGAAATCAAAAACCCTTCGGATCGAACCCACATCCCCAACTAGAGTCTTTCGAACCTCAGTAAAGCTGACTTTTCTGGTTGGGTTTTCTCTAAATCGGCGAATTATGGTGTTCCGGTAGTATTTGTAAACCCTAGGGTTTTTGGAAGCGGATCCTCCATCGAAGAATTCTGGGAGTAACCGGATTTCTCCCTCGTGAATGCTATTCCATGAAAACCACCCTGCAAGAGGGGGTGGGTTTCAGAGAGCATACATACATATGAGTCAATAAGTTTTAAAAAGGAAAGAGATAAGCAAACTTACTGGAGTAGCTGGGTACGTTGATGACATCGGTTTCCGGCAGGTGAGAGGTGATAATGGCGGTAGGAGTGCCGGCGGTAATTGAGCGGATGGGTGCGGCGGTGGATGGAATTGGGGAGGACTCCGGACGCGTTAGCTGTGGAAGTGGCGGTGTCTCTTGTTGTGGCGGAGGCGGTGGCGGCGGCAGAGATGTGAGATCCGGGTCGGCCACTTTGATGGTGGTGTCGCCTGTGGCCATTCTCTGGCTATTCGGAGGCGCCTCTAAATTTTAAGTGGACTTCAAATTTGGACCCAAAACTTTCGTGTAACTTTCGTGTAACACTCAAAAATGTTAGGGGTAGACCAAAAGTGTACCCCAAACATCCTCACCCCCTCCATCATCACACAAAAAAGACAAGAAAAACTCAAAAAAAAAATAAAATAAAATGAATGGTTAAAATGAGGGTGGTGTACATTTGGGGTACACCTTTGGTGTACCCCTAGCATATCCCTATTTTAATTATTAATATCTTTACTTATACATAAATATAGATTGCTAAAATATGATATTTGAAACTACATTGCAAAATAAATTCAAAAAACAAATCAGAGTGTTAAAAATAAGAGTTATTAATTCTTAATATTAACCACATGAAACTTATAAAAAAAAACTATTAATCTTGTCACTATGTTCAATCAATAAAAAATTAAAAAATTAAAGAAAATGTCAAATCATTACACCGAATATTGATAAAAATTACCAACTCATTAAAGAAATAAATAGGTGGCCGATCAATTGTTAAAAAATACCCAATACACTTGTCATATGCCAAAATTATGTGAGCTAGAATCTCAAATATTATAGTAAAGGAAGGATAAGCCAATAAGGGCATGTTTGGGAATAACGTTAGACATTAGCGTTAACGATTTGGATAAAATTTCAACGGTGTAGATTACTTTGAAAATGTTAACCCTAACGCTGCCCGTAGATAGTTTTTTCAAAACGTTAACGCTTATGTCTAACGTTATTCCCAAACAGGCCCTAAGTGTATTACCAAATCAATTGACATTTATTTATAATCACACATTAATAACCTTCTAATTATAATTACTTTTACATGTACTCCATAATGATTTTTCATATGTGCTACAATTGATAATGAATATTTGCTTCAATAGGATCTTTCCATATTTTAATTTGAAATCACCAATTCATAAAGTCTTCAAAGGTGGTAGACAATTTGTAAAAAAATTGCCAAGTAAACCTGCCACGTGTTGAATTTATGGAAGTTCAATTTTCAAATAGTCTGTTTTGACCAATTTTTTAGCATAGAGAAACAACTATGCGCCAACAACTTTCCCCTTTTTGATTTTTGGCATCTATTTTTTTTGGTACATTGACCTCTAAAATTTGAGTCAACACTTTTTTATATTTTCTTTTCCAAAAAATAAATTTGTAAACAACTATAAAATTGTTATAAAATGAGAGAAAAACTACTCAGATATTAAGAAAATAAATATGATATATTTCTGATTTCTTCTCTCTATTAATTCTTCACTCTTCTTGTTCTTAATGGTGATTTGCAGGGACCCTAAACCTCTTATTTATAGTAGAGAGGCTTAGTGCTAACACTATTACAAATAGTATACATACTATACAAATGACAACTTGATGGTGATGATGGACAATTTGTTCCTGCAACTTATAATGGAGCATTACCTAACTAATTGATAAATGAACAATTCATATTTTTCTTAACACTCCCTCTTGAATGTAACACCCTAACTTGAACAGTGTCGTGGACTATTCCAAATTAGAGAGTCAAGAGGAAATATACTAATTTCTTATAAAAACATCATATAAATGTTTATTAAAAACAGCGGAAACGAGTTTAATACACAATTTGTTTGTAAACATAACGTCATAAAATAAAATACAAACTTTTTATTCAAGCAAATAAATAAACACATAACCGTATTTATCAAAACGGATTTAATTGCCATGTCTTGCA